TGAAGACTTACAGAAAACGTTTGACCTGTATCATTGCCAACAAAGGGTATATAACAAAGTATTGAGAAACTTTTGTTATTGACCAAATACTTATTTTACACCATAATTTGCAAATATATTCATTAAAAATCCTACAATGTGATTTTCTGGAGAAAAAAAAATCTCATTTTGTCTGTCATAGTTGACGTGTACCTACGATGAAAATTACAGGCCTCTCTCATCTTTTTAAGTGGGAGAACTTGCACAATTGGTGGCTGACTAAATACTTTTTTTCCCCACTGTAGCTGACAGCGTCTTAACTTTAGCTCATTTGTATTCATTATTGCAGGAAAATAAACTCACAACATGATCATTATTTACAAGTTAATGGCGAGCTAATTACAGAAAATGTTAGAACTTGGAGACTGTCTCATTGGCCTAACGTTATATCCTAATTTGACTTTGGTGCGGGTCATGTTGTTCTCCACATTACCATCTCTGGTAAACACACTATATCAAATAAAATCAAAGTTTATTTGTCACATGCACAGGATACAGGTGTAAACGGTACAGTGAAATGGTTACTTGCATTGTGGAGTATTTTGTTTAGACATGTAGCTAGCTAGCTAGCTAAACAATGAACCATAATCCCGACTCATAACGTTACTACCCTGCATGAATCATTCAAAAAAGCTGTGTTGCAAAGGATTACCTACACATACTGAGCAGCTCATGTTATAGACAGAAGCATGCTACATGGCAGACCAATCCAAACTAATCTCTCGGCATGTCCACCCCAGCCATTATCTCAGCCAATCATGGCTAGTGGGAAGGTTCCTGTCTTTTTCCGTGGCTAAATCAACTAGGCTATTAATTTATCAATTTTATTCATATTTACAGATGGCATACACGTTTGTTATTAAGGCACATGAAAGTTCACATGTTCCAGAAGGCATAAAAATAATGTTTACGTTCAAATGCCTCTCCTGTGAAGTAGTGATGTGCGAGATATGCCTATTTTCCTGATGAAGAGGCAAACCCCTCCCCCTCTCGATTTCCCTGAATCAAATTTCCTGTCTGCTCACTGAATGGAGAATCCATTGAGTTGGATAGCCATGGTGGGTATCAAGTCCGAACGCCATGTTTAAGAAAAGCAGAGAATATTGCAGTTTCGAGTCCCGTTGATAACAAATCCGCGATCGGAGGTCATCCATCTTATTATCAAGAGACTGTACATTAGCCAATAGAATGGAGGGAAGAAGTGGGCGGTTTTCACTTTGCCTTAATCTCGCCAGGGCTCCCACTCTCATGCATCTTTGTCTCCGGCGTTTCCTCTTGGATCGGAATTACACAAACAGCCCAGGGCAGATGAGTCGAAGTCAAAGTTGATTCCGGAATTGAGGTTAGAAACTGCCGATTTGATGTTCAAAAGTTATTGTCGATCATAAGAAATTATAGCGGATACATTTCATACAAAAAAAAAGTAAAGATGAACGCCAAAAGAATCACAAAATGGCAAAGTTGGGTTGGAGCTTGCAAGAAGGCAGCCATACAGTAAGGCGCCATCTTCAATGTTTAGGTAGTAAGTTTGAGTCAATTCTAATTGAAGTCAGTCAATTCAGGAAGTAAACTGAAATTCCTATTCAATAATTGAAAAAAAGGCTTAATTCAAATCACTTCCTGAATTAACTGACTTCAATTTGAGTTGACCCCAACCCTGTTAACTATCGGGGCCACCCTCTGAATTAAAGAGCCACTGAACATGCTGATTGGCACGTGGGGTTTTCTTTTGCTCATTAGAAAAACTAGATTTCAGTCTTGGAGGTGTGTTTCCTGACTGATTCCACGTTTGGTTAATGATGTTTGTCCCCCATGAGACACTGTAGTACTCACGCTACAAGAACTCTCGGCCATTGTTACTTTCCCTTCCGAGATGGCTACAAGGCCCTCCTCCGCCCTCCCTTCAGCAAATCAGACCACAACTCCATTCTGCTCCTCCCTTCCTATAGGTAGAAACTCAAACAGGAAGTACCCGTGCTAAGTTATATTCAAAGCTGGTCTGACCAATCAGAATCCATGCTTCAAGATTGTTTTGATCATGCGGACTGGGATATGTTCCGGGTTAACTCTGAAGTGCCTAGGGGATGTTGTTCCCACTGTGACTATTAAAACCTTCTGTCATCATGAAGTGCTTTGAGAGGGTAGTTAAGGATCATATCACGCCACCTTACCTGTCACCCTAGACCCACTTCAATTTGCATACCGCCCCAATAGATCCACAGATGATGCAATCACCATTGCACTGCACAATGCCCTATGCCATCTGGACAAGAGGAATACCTATGTATGAATGCTGTTCATTGACATTAGCTCAGCCTTCAACACCATAGTACCCTCCAAGCTCATCATTAATCTCGGGGGCCTGGGTCTGAACCCCGCCCTTTGCAACTGGGTCCTGGACTTCCTGACAGGCTGCCCCCAGGTGGTGAAGGTAGGAAACAACACCTCCACTATGCTGATCCTCAACACAGGGGCCCCACAAGGGTGCGTGCTCAGCCCCCTCCTGTACTCCCTGTTCACCCATGACTGCGTGGCCACGCACGCCTCCAACTCAATCATCAAGTTTGCAGACGACACAACAATAGTAGGCCTGATTACCAACAATGATGAGACAGCCTACAGGGAGGAGGTGAGGGCCCTGGCGGAGTGGTGCCAGGAAAAAAACTTCTCCCTCAACGTCAACAAAACGAAGGAGCTGATCGTGGACTTCAGTAGAGAACAGAGAGAGCACGCCCCTATTCACAACGACGGGACCGCAGTGGAGAAGGTGAAAAGCTTCAAGTTCCTTGGTGTACACATTACTGAAAATCTGAAATGGTCCACCCACACAGACAGTGTGGTGAAGAAGGCGCAACACAGGAAGGCCAAAAAGATAATCAAGGACATCAACCACCTGAGGCACGGCCTGTTCACCCTGCTATCATCCAAAAGGCGAGGTCAGTACAGGTGCATCAAAGCTGGGACCGAGAGACTGAAAACAGCTTCTATCTCAAGGCCATCAGACTGTTAAATAACCATCACTAGCCGGCTACCACCCGGTTACTCAACCCTGCACCTTAGAGGCTGCTGCCCTATGTACATAGACATGGAATCACTGGTCACTTTAAATCGAACACTAGTCACTTTAATAATGTTACATACTGTTTTACTCATTTCATATGTATATACTGTACTCTACCGTTTTAGACGAGACTGACTATGGCCAAAATTATCCTATTTACACTTTGTAGTCAATTTTGACACTATAATAACTGTTTTTGACTCATATTGATGCCACATAGGCTGTTTTCAAAGGGATTCGTTGCTTTTTAAAGGCTGTCACTATTTTTTTAAATTCAGTGTGCTTTTTATCTCAAACCATCTATTACATGCTCAACGGTATGTACCTTTAAACTAGAACACAACTTTAGAATGACAGAATCAGACAGCATTTTAAAAAAGTGTTATGCTTTTTTAAATGCAAAAATGTGAAGATTAAAATATATATTGAAATTATTTGGCACTCTAGTACTGATCTATTATGCATTCTCTTTCAGTTATGAAACACATCAACACAAATTTGATTGATGTGGTAGGATACATTTTAATAAAGTGGCTTGCAGTGGTCTTAGTTTCTCTTGTAGTGATGACTGTCTAGTCTTTCTTGTCTTGGAAAGCTGATTACAGGTTTGATACATCTTTTCTCCATATGGACTGGTAAGTCATTTCTTGTTGCTCTGAATTTGTCTGGGCATTGAGCCAATCAACTCGCAGCCTGTGTAGGACATTGCTTAGAGTAACACGTCTGCCATATGTCATAGAGTAAATGCGAATTCATACAGTGACCTAAAGCCTCATCACTGAATCATTCCATCAAACACTCCACTTCTCTCCTTTAGTAGAAACTTTATTGGAAACTCCATCAACCACCCCCCACCCCATGTCCGTAACAGCACTTGTCCTTCCACTCGAGGAGTGACAGAATATAGACAGTGGTTCTGTGCTACGACAGACTCCTCTAGTCAGAGGACTTGAAGGGAAGCTCTTTCCTTTGGAAAGAGAGCGCCAGTGTAATGTGGATGCTAAGTGTGTGTGTGAGTGAGACTGTGAGTGATGAGTGAGGTGAGTGAGGTGAGTGAATGAGGGCGGCAGGTAGCTTAGTGGTTAAGAGCGTTGTGCCAGTAACCGAAAGGTCGCTGGTTCTAATCCCCGAGCCGACTAGGTGAATAATCTGTCGATGTGCCCTTGAGCAAGGCACTTAACCCTAATTGCTCCTGTAAGTCGCTCTGGATAAGAGCGTCTGCTAAATTATGTAAATGTAAATGAGTGAGTGAGTGAGTGTGAGACAGAGAGAGACTTTCAGGTTGAGCACCCACTCAGAAAAATCAACTGCCTTGCAGAAAACATCTCACTGAAAAAAAACTATAAATGAAAATCATCTGCATCCACTACTGATGTAATACCATAGACCAACTTCCAAAATGACAATAACTAGATCAAAGAATAAACCATTTTGTGAAACCCTGAAATAGCTAGCTATTGGTCTTAAGCTGAATTGATTGTTCAGAGCCGCAATAGTCTGGTCCATTATTACATACATATAAGATTAAAAGAGCAAGCGAAAGGAAACTACAATGGTCGTAAAGGTACAAAACCTGACAATGCCACCCTTTAGTATATCTTCACATGTATCTAAAACATGTACCACCAGATTAAAAATAGTGCAACAACACAACACAGTTGAAAAAACAGACTTGGGTGGAGGACACAGAGCATTGGACCAAAACAGCTGGGTCAAAGGAGTTAGGAAGGGAGGTGCGGGGGGGAGCTTGTAATCCCCAAAGCAATCAATTCCATCAAAACTTGTAACGTCGTCTAGGATTGCTTTTGAGTTTCCATACAAAATGGGGTGAGGTGGATTGGGGTGACGAGATTCTACTTGTAATACTACTGGTGTCTAGTAGGAAGGGATGTAATTACCGTAAGAAGGAAAAACCATCCAACCTGTTTATGTCCTCTTCACCGAGAAGTTGGTTTGGGAGGGGGGAGTACCTTCCGGGGGAGATGGGCATGGGGGGAAGACTGCACTTGTATTCCAGAGTGCCGTTGTTGCCCACGGAAGATATATGATTTTCCATTGCTGGAGAGAACGCTTGAAAGAAACAACAAGGGTGTACACAGCTCGTCAGACTTCAGCTTTCTGACATTACTAACCTCATACTGTCAGTTAATGACTTTCCATATCAATCAATCAATAAAATACATCTAATTTAGTTTGGAGGCCCACACACTGTAATGTTCTGGCATTTAAGTTTACATGGCAAGGGAGAAAGTTCAAATAAATAATACATTGCAAACACAATGCACTCTAAAACAATCCCAACTCTCATAACATTCTTGTGAAGACTCTGTATCTAAACTCAGGGATAATGCTCAAGAGATGAACAAGCATACCGCATCAGTGTGAAACTAAACACATTAATTTGCGAAGTGAAAGAAGACTGTCCTGGTCTACAACAGCAGAGGTTGCTCACATAATTTGAAACTCAAATACTGCCCTCTTGTACACTACTCGGACTACAAACCAAAGTTGCATCTCTATAAGGTGGTTTCCCAGAACAGACTAAGCCTAGTGCTGGCCTAAGAAGCACTTTAATTGGAGAACCTCCATTGAGCATGCTTTTTAGTCCAGGACTAAGCTTAATCTGTGTCTGGGAAACTGGCCAAACAGGTGGGTAGAGGGGTGAAAAAGAGGTGACAAACTCACAGTGCATGATATCAGGTGGCCCATAGGGATCTGATAAGTAAACATTGGTGGGCTTGCCCACCTTCAGGTAGACAACGTCAGACGTGTTCTTCAGTATGGCTACTGCCTCCTCGTGGGAGACCTCTTCCAGAGTGTAGTTGTTCACCTGTGGGGGTGGAGAGAGCATGGAGAAAATCTCATAAGAGAGTTAAAGGGCGACTGCACTTCCTGATTTGGCCTCGTTTTAGATTCGGTTCATTAAGAAATGCTAGCAGCTATGACTGAATTCAAACATGAGTTGGTTTCGGGGTGTGGTTTGATGTGGGAGTCTCTTGTGTCTGTTCGCAGGTGGGAAGAGTTAGCTAAATTATTTTGCCAATTAGCTTCATCCGGCTGGTGTGCGACACTGGCAAAGTTGGTTTCACTTTGGATAGCCGATCTCAGGGGATAGTTATCTCATTAAAGGCTTTGAATATTTGTAAATTCATTTCCACAATTTATAGTTGGTTTGAGGTTTTTAAGTCATTGAAATGTGGACCTATTGACCTTTTAAAATATTGTCCTATGTACATTGTAGTCAAACCTTGTAGTCAATAATTTTTGTGACTCATAGCGATGCCACATAAACCATTCTCAAAACGAGAAGTTGCTTTTTAGGGGCAGTCGCTCTTTAAACCTTACGTTCCACTCCTTTCATGCCAGACAGACATGGAGCCTGCCAAATGCAGATTATGATAGCCTGGGATCCCCCAGAGCTGGAAGCAGCAGGAAGGCAGCTAGTTGAATTAAACTGTGGTTAAGCGACTCACTCTTCTGAAATAGGCTGTGTTGCTACAACGGGAGTTTATACACTATAACAGATTTCTGTAGTTGTGACGAAGTTGTCCGTTACCTCGTGCACATCAAAAAGGTTTCATGAAGACAGGAACAGTTTTACTAAAATGTAGAATTTATTTGAATAAATAGATAAATACAATGACAGGTTAAAATCAGGCTAATCAGGCTAATTTATGCCGGAATGAGCATAAATCGGCTTTAACACTACCACTCACCTTAGTACACCTGAATGCAATCAACTCAAATCAGCCAATCCTTAATCAACACACACATTCTTCACACATTCCATTACTGAAAACAGGGCCCTTTAACAAATAAACATTTACACATTTATACACACAATGGGGAATATATGGGTCTCTGTTTATATAGTAAATTAGTGTGTTACTGTAAAATAATTATACCGTATAACAATCTTCATAACGCATGTATTCAACATCCTTCATAAGGAGTTTTCAAAATAAAAGTCCCATTGAATAGATCTTCATTTATCAATTAAATGAAATGTATATTTTACTGTCACAGTTCCCAACCTTCTTACACACTATTCACTATTTCGTTGTACAATGGATAAATAAAGCTCTATTTTATTTACAAAACTCCTTATGAATGATGTTGAATAAATGTGTTATGAAGGTTGTTACGCAGTATAATGCTTTGACAGTACAGTATGGTCCACCTATGGGGGATGAGGACAGGGCAGGGCAGGGGTAGTGAAGCTGCAATAACTTACCATAAGCAGCCTGTCTGCAATCTGCAAGCGCTGGTCCTTCTGTGCTGCCCCGCCATCTATGATCTTAGTGACATAGATGCTGTTGTCCCCCGGGATGTGCTGGTTGCCCACCCCTCCTGCGATGCTGAAGCCCAGCCCTGATGAGAAATAGATGTGGGGTGGAGGTTAAAAAAAAAAGTTTTGTGGCCTAGGGTGGTCTAGCGGTCTAGGCTGCTGCCTCTGGATCACAAGCACTAGCGACCTACACTCAGTAACAGTTTATTAGGTACACCACCCCATTCACGAAAATGGATTGCTCCTACAGAAAGTGAGTCACATGGCTGTGGCTTGTTATATAAAGAAGGCAGACAGGCATCGAGGCATTCAGTTACTGTTCAATTGAACGTTAGAATGGGCAAAACGAGAGACCTTAACAACTTTGAGCGTGGTATGATCATCAGTACCAGGCGCACCAGATCCAGTATCTCAGAAACTGCCATCCCCCTGGCCTTTTCACGACGACAGTGTCTAGTGTTTACCGAGAATGGTGCAACAAACAAAAACATCCAGTCAACGGCAGTCATGTAGGTGAAAACAGCTTGTTGATGAGGTCGAAGGAGAATGGCAAGAATCGTGCAAGCTAACAATCGGACTACAAACGGCATCTCAGAACGGCATCTCCGAACGCACAACTCGTCGATCCTTGTCACAGAAGGGCTATTGCAGCAGACGACCACACCAGGTTCCACCCCCATCAGTTAAAACAAGAAGAAGTGGCTCCAGTGGGTACGCGATCACCAACACTGGACAATTGAGGAGTGGAAAAACATCGCCTGGAACATGACTGCGAGTTCAGTTTACTTGAGTGGCCTGCGCAGTCCCAGACTTCAGCATGGACCAACATCCATGTGTAATGTATCCGACACCTTGTAGAATTCAGGCTGTTCTGGAGGCAAAGGGGGGTCTGACCCGGTACTAGATGGGTGTACCTAATAAACTGTCCAGTTAGTGTATATCAGTACACTTCACAGACACCTAAAGCACTTGAAAATAGACTTGAAGCGTAGAAAGATGGTTCAGCAAAGCGAGCCTGTTTTTGCTGCTTCATGGATGTGCTGCTTCTGCAGCCAGTATAGCATGTTTCATTGATTACAGTGGGTTTGTTTCAACTCTGGCCAACTGACGCGAGAAAAACACACAGGACGCTTACAGTCAGGGTAAGAAAATAGCACCATCAATTATAGACCACACAATGTCGCTTTCCAAATTTCCTCTCCTCCCTCATCCATCTCCCAATCTGGTGTATTCACTAGGAACCAAATGTGCCTAAACCCCACCCCATTTGTTTTTAGACTGCTGCTACCCGCTGTCTATTATCTATGCATAGTCACTTTACCCCTACCTACATGTACAAATTACCTCTACTAACCTGTACCCCGCACATTGACTCGGTACCGGTACCCCCTGTATAGAGCGTCGTTATTGTTATTTTGTTGTGTTACTTTTTATAATTTTTAACTTTAGTTTATTTGGTAAATATTTTCTTAACTTGTAAGTAAGCATTTCACGGTAAGGTCTACACCTATTGTATTCGGCGCATTTGACAAATAAAGTTGGATTTGATTTGATTTGAAATGGGGCGGGACTAACGTCAACTTAAAATTCCCAAAATGTTGTTGGAAAAGGTTTTGCCACGGTGTGCCCTAATGAATACACCCATGGACTCATTGCAGCTCTTCCCCAGTGATGACTCATCTCTCTGATATAAATAATGCATCAAAGTTATTTATTTGAGGTGGGTGGTACAAACCCCAAATGATAAAATACTGAACAAAACATACTGGATGTGCATGGTTATCTGGTTTACCCTTAAAAATCACTGATGCTTGCTGAGCGAAAGAGAAAAAAAATGAAGACAAGGAGAAAGGAAGTGAGTTGTAGATACAGACAGAGGGATTTATTAAGAAAGTAATGATGGGAGCGAGAGAGAGAGCGAGAGAGAGCGAGAGAGAGCGAGAGAGAGCGAGAGAGAGCGAGAGAGAGTAACGTAATAACTTTTCACATTTTAACTGAGAGTTGAATCCCCAAAATATTAGATAGATAGATAGATAGATAGATAGATAGATAGATAGATAGATAGATAGATAGATAGATAGATAGATAGATAGATAGATAGATAGATAGATAGATAGATAGATAGATAGATAGATAGATAGATAGATAGATAGATAGATAGATAGATAGATAGATAGATAGATAGATAGATAGATAGATAGATAGATAGATAGATAGATAGATAGATAGATAGATAGATAGATAGATAGATAGATAGATAAGATGGAGTGTAACAACCTTTTGGTCCTTTGATGAGTTTGATCTCAATGACAGTTTCCAGCATGGGTCTCCTCCGGCGAACGTAGAGCCTGACGATGGAGCCGGCCACCTTCAGCGCCTCCACAGCCTTACTGTGGGACACCTCGGACACGTCGGCATCATTCACCCGCAGGATGCAGTCATTCACTCTGCAATGAAAAAAGAGGATGGGAATATGAGCCTTAACCTGGAAAAATAGTATTTGTGTGTGCATGTACGTGTGCGTGGCAGGGGGAGTAGAAGGCCCCTGCTGCAGTGTGACCCTTTAACCCCTTCAGGAGAGGCCACAAACATCCATGCCCCCACGTTCAAGAACAGAACTCTCCTGAGGCGCATTTTAAGGGACCAGCTGGGACCCTATGCACACACACAGACCACACACACACACACACACACACACACACACACACACACCACACACACCCAAGCAGAGCGAGAGATACTGCCTATTTACACATATAAAAGCTGTGTTTTTATGCTTGTCCTCAGCATGATGCCTTGGTCTGCAGTGAGTTCTGTTAATTTGCTGTACACTATATGCATTTACAGTACAACGCACAAAGTTGAATGTACACTGCAAATTGGCCAGTGTTGATTTTTCAGTGTTACATTTCTAGTGTTGATTCAGGAGTTAAATTCACTCTGTATTAACACTCAGTGGTGTAAAATAACCCCAATTGTTGGTGTTAATAACCAGAGTTATTGTTTTACACTGTGGAGAGTAAAACAGTTCCATCAAAACCACACCCATCATAATCATATTTTCCAGCATGCTCTACTGCAGGTAGATGTTTTGGGATTGTTTTTCATGTCTGTGTTTTTGCATGTTCATTGATTGATTGATTAATCTTATGTTACAAAGATAAATAACATATTTTTCTAAACTAATCCAATCAGTTACTGAAATGGTTGTTCCAGTTTAAATGGTTTAGGTAGTCTCCTTTACCAATTTCCATTATCCTGACAGTCATTATGAATATGGGTTACAGGTGAATAAAAATTACAACTGTTGGATATCCTAACTCTGTCTGGATTCCAATAGGAATTACACACCACTTTGCAATCCATCATAATGTGACTTGCAGGCCTGATGTGGTAATTAGTTTCCTAACACCACTGAGTTAGGATGAAACTAGGCCATCAAAGTAAGCCCTTATGATATGTGTAATGTATATTGTCATAGTTTAATTTGAATGATATTAATGATAATAATTCAACAACCATGTCTGGGTCACCAAAAAATACATAGTGGTAACTCTTCAATTCACTCAAAAAGAAAAGGCACCCTGGGAAATATGCAAATTAGGCTTTACACCATACACCATTTCATTATATTTCACTCCACTGTAGAGTGAAATACTAATTAGTTCACGCCAGTGTAAAGTGAACTGCCTATTAGTTCACTCCAGTGTATGGTAAAATGCCTATTAGTTCACACTTTTGAAAATGTTTAATTCATTCTGTTGAGAGTGGATGCATATACACCAGAGTATATGAGTGGAGTTGAGAAGCTGGAAATCCCGCTCAACGCTCATGGAGCGGTGCTTACTGACCGCTCCGGCGCTCCATGTCCTTTCCTACCACTCTGCTAAAAACCGCTCCACCCTCACAGGAAAATAACCCCCGCTCCAAATTCGCTCCATTCATTAAAATCCCAATTTAACCAACACCCATCTATTTTTGTGACTACATGGACCTACCAATTGGTTTTAAAGTATTGAAACCAAACCATATGGATTTGAATGAAAAGTATTTGAATAAACATGAAAAGGTGAATGAAAGAAGCAAACATCATTTCAAATTGGCTACATGTCATATTAAACAGCATATAAACACTCTAAAAAGGTCAAGAGCCAGACAGGAAGCCTAAGAAGGAACGAAAATGAATTATTTAGGCTATATTATTTCAAGGCTATAGCCTACAAAGAAATACATTGTGAAACATTTGCGAGTGCGACACAATAGGCTGGTAGGGACATAAAGGGCTCAGCATTTAAACAACATTTCATTGTATTAAATCATTATAGTCTATAAATTGTGCATATAGTAATTAAATACAAATTAAACTAAAAATGACTTATTAGTGCCTTTGAATTCATTTTTAGAAACACAAGTTTGGCCAGTCTGTGGCTTCAGGCTCATGCGATGGCCTGGAGAGCCGGCCAGCAGCGGAGAATATCCTCTCCACACTTGCAGAGCCACTGGGGATGCTAAACACCCTTTTGCCAACTCTTGCCAGGCTGGGCAGAGATTCAGAGTTTTTAAATGTTGTATATACAGTGGGGAGAACAAGTATTTGATACACTGCCGATTTTGCAGGTTTTCCTACTTACAAAGCATGTAGAGGTCTGTAATTTTTATCATAGGTACACTTCAACTGTGAGAGACAGAATATAAAACAAAAATCCAGAAAATCACATTGTATGATTTTTAAGTAATTAATTTGCATGACATAAGTATTTGATCACCTACCAACCAGTAAGAATTCCGGCTCTCACAGACCTGTTAGTTTTTCTTTAAGAAGCCCTCCTGTTCTCCACTCATTACCTGTATTAACTGCACCTGTTTGAACTCGTTACCTGTATAAAAGACACCTGTCCACACACTCAATCAAACAGACTCCAACCACTCCACAATGGCCAAGACCAGAGAGCTGTGTAAGGACATCAGGGATAAAATTGTAGACCTGCACAAGGCTGGGATGGGCTACAGGACAATAGGCAAGCAGCTTGGTGAGAAGGCAACAACTGTTGGCGCAATTATTAGAAAATGGAAGAAGTTCAAGATGACGGTCAATCACCCTCGGTCTGGGGCGCCATGCAAGATCTCACCTCGTGGGGCATCAATGATCATGAGGAAGGTGATAGATCAGCCCAGAACTACACGGCAGGACCTGGTCAATGACCTGAAGAGAGCTGGGACCACAGTCTCAAAGAAAACCATTAGTAACACACTACGCCGTCATGGATTAAAATCCTGCAGCGCACGCAAGGTCCCCCTGCTCAAGCCAGCGCATGTCCAGGCCCGTCTGAAGTTTGCCAATGACCATCTGGATGATCCAGAGGAGGAATGGGAGAAGGTCATGTGGTCTGATGAGACAAAAATAGAGCTTTTTGGTCTAAACTCCACTCGCCGTGTTTGGAGGAAGAAGAAGGATGAGTACAACCCCAAGAACACCATCCCAACCGTGAAGCATGGAGGTGGAAACATCATTCTTTGGGGATGCTTTTCTGCAAAGGGGACAGGACGACTGCACCGTATTGAGGGGAGGATGGATGGGGCAATGCATCGCGAGATCTACTGGCCTTCCCTCAGTAAGAGCATTGAAGATGGGTCGTGGCTGGGTCTTCCAGCATGACAACGACCCGAAACACACAGCCAGGGCAACTAAGGAGTGGCTCCGTAAGAAGCATCTCAAGGTCCTGGAGTGGCCTAGCCAGTCTCCAGACCTGAACCCAATAGAAAATCTTTGGAGGGAGCTGAAAGTCCGTATTGCCCAGCAACAGCCCCGAAACCTGAAGGATCTGGAGAAGGTCTGTATGGAGGAGTGGGCCAAAATCCCTGCTGCAGTGTGTGCAAACCTGGTCAAGACCTACAGGAAACGTATGATCTCTGTAATTGCAAACAAAGGTTTCTGTACCAAATATTAAGTTCTGCTTTTCTGATGTATCAAATACTTATGTCATGCAATAAAATGCAAATTAATTACTTAAAAATCATACAATGTGATTTTCTGGATTTTTGTTTTAGATTCCGTCTCTCGCAGTTGAAGTGTACCTATGATAAAAATTACAGACCTCTACATGCTTTGTAAGTAGGAAAACCTGCAAAATCGGCGGTGTATCAAATACTTGTTCTCCCCACTGTATATATATCTAGGTAGGCCTAAAGGTTTTTAGGCAAAATAACCCAATCAAAAGGAAAGCTCCTTGAACGTGGGAAAATGCCAATGATGACCTATTGTATAGATAATAGAACGAACATGAACGAAGGAGATCAGATTTTTTCTTTATAAATAATGCTACGATGACACACTTAGCTATCTACCCACAACGTTCCTTTCTTTTAGCATGTGCACGTAGTAAGTACACCACCATACCTTTGGGATAAGTGTCTTTTCAGATTCCACAACGATTCTTTAGTTGTATATTTTTCATGTAGCCAGCTTGTAACAACTGCCATATCCCGCGCGTAGAACAATGTTATCCGGTCTATAACCTAACAGTTTAACACCATGCCAGCAGGTGGCATCCACGCCTTACACATAACAGTGGACACTACATCACCGCACTCCCTCTCTTGCTCTTGGTCCTCATCTTTGTAAGTCACCTTGATTTAGCACCTGTGTGTTTTATCAGTTTCTTTATGAAAATATTTTGCGAACTCCATGACAGTAGCTAAAGCAAGGGGCTATTATCAGTACACAAGTAGACTACAAATGCATGCTGGGCCGTTCATGCCCTGAGCTCCTGAAGTGAGCGCTACTGGAGCGAATTTGGAGCGGGCGAGAAGGCCGACACTCCAGCCTTTGGGAATCTCGCTCCACGCTCCAGTCAAATTGTGCACTTCCGCTCCTCGCTCCGCTCCAGCTCCGCTCACATACTCTGATATACAGTTGAAGTCGGAAGTTTACATACACTTAGGTTGGAGTCATTAAAACTCGTTTTTTCAACCACTCCACAAATTTCTTGTTAACAAACTATAGTTTTGGCAAGTCGGTTAGGACATCTACTTTGTGCATGACACAATTAATTTTTCCAACAATTGTTTACAGACAGATTATTTCACATATCATTCACTGTATCACAATTCCAGTGGGTCAGAAGTTTACAAAAACTAAGTTGACTGTGCCTTTAAACAGCTTGGAAAATTCCAGAAAATTTTAGAAGCTTCTGATAGGCTAATTGACATCATTTGAGTCAATTTCAGGTGTACCTGTGGATGTATTTCAAGGCCTACCTTCAAACTCAGTGCCTCTTTGCTTGACATCATAGGAAAATCAAAAGAAATCAGCCAAGACCTCAGAAAAAAAATTGTAGACCTCCACAAGTCTGGTTCATCCTTGGGAGCAATTTCCAAACGCCAAAAGGTTCCACGTTCATCTGTACAAACAATAGTACGCAAGTATAAACACCATGGGACTACGCAGCCATCATACCGCTCAGGAAGGAAACGTGTTCTGTCTCCTAGAGATGAACGTACTTTGGTGCGAAAAGTGCAAATCAATCCCAGAACAACAGCAAAGGAACTTGTGAAGATGCTGGAGGAAACAGGTACAAAAGTATCTATAACCACAGTACAACAAGTCCTATATCGACATAACCTGAAAGGCCGCTCAGCAAGGAAGAAGCCACTGCTCCAAAAACGCCATAAAAAAGCCAGACTACGGTTTGCAACTGCACATGGGGACAAATATCTTACTTTTTGGAGAAATGTCCTCTGGTCTGATGAAACAAAAAAAGAACTGTTTGGCCATAATGACCATCGTTATGTTTGGCGGAAAAAGGGGGTGGCTTGCAAGCCGAAGAACACCATCCCAACCGTGAAGCACGGGGGTGGCAGCATCATGCTGTGGGGGTGCTTTGCTGCAGAAGTGCACTTCACAAAATAGATGATATCAAGAGGAAGGGAAATTATGTGGATATAGTGAAGCAACATCTCAAGACATCAGTCAGGAAGTTAAAGCTTGGTCGCAAATGGGTCTTCCAAATGGACAATGACCCCAAGTTGTGGCAAAATGGCTTAAGGACAACAAAGTCAAGGTATTGGAGTGGCCATCACAAAGCCCTGACCTCAATCCTATAGAACATTTGTGGGCAGAACTGAAAAAGCGTGTGCGAGCAAGGAGGCCTACAAACCTGACTCAGTTACACCAGCTCTGTCAGGAGGAATGGGCCAAAATTCACTCAACTTATTGTGGGAAGCTTGTGGAAGGCTACCCGAAATGTTTGACCCAAGTTAAACAATTTAAAGGCAATGCTACCAAATACTAACTGAGTGTATGTAAACTTCTGACCCAATGGGAAGAAATAAAAGCTGAAATAAATCATTCTCTCTACTATTATTCTATTATTCTGACATTTCACATTCTTAAAATAAAGTGGTGATCCTAACAGAGAATTTTTACTAGGATTAAATGTCAGGAATTGTGAAAAACTGAGTTTAAATGTATTTGGCTAACTTCCGACTTCAACTGTACACAACATAAAAGTATTAAAATGAACACTACAATGAGTTAGTTTAACACTTCTGATTTTGCTGTGTATGTCTGATTATTATACAGCTGGGGTGTATTCATTAGCGCACACCATCGCAAAAAGTTTGCACCATAAAAAGGGATTTTATGCTGAACTTAAAATATAATTGTCACTTTCATGGCCAAATCAACTCCATATGTGTTTTGATGTTACTTAAAAGGTGATTTGCCCATAAAACAAAGAGAACGATTGCGCCTACCATTTCCATTGATTGTTAGCTAGATGTGGCTAAAGTCACTCAATCAATCTTATTTATTTTATAAAGCCCTTTTTACATCAGCAGTTGTCACAAAGTGCTTTACAGATACCCAGCCTAAACCCCCAAAGAGCAAGCAATGCAGATGCAGAAGCTAGCTGAAAAGTGGTTGTTTAAAGAAACCCAAACCTACTTTCAGGTTGAGGAACCATCTAACATCAAGTTGTAAAATCCCGAACTTCCCCTTTAATTTACCCTGTTATCTTACTAACTATGTGGTGCTCTAAGCATCCCAAAAGTCCTATGTTATGTGGAGTGCTCCCAGAGCAAAACCTTTGAGTATTTCCTATTTACATTCAGCTAAAACATAAGAGCAAGAATGTGCTTAGAATAGGTAATGTTATGCTACAATCCCCCAGACTGTGAAGTTAATAAATAACCACAAGAGGAGTGTGCCTGACTATAATACTTAAACAATGCCAAAACCCATCGTGTGTCTTTGAGAGAGTAGGCCTTTCCCACTAATCTCTGTGCACATCTTTGAAAAAAAATTATTCATTATATTATGCAAAGTAGAAAGTATGTGGAATTCTGGGAAAACATGCTCCTGCAAGATCATCGCTAAATTGTAAAATTATTTTAAAAGTAGAGTCAGTGGTGGACTTAACATCTAAGTGTGTGAAGCACGAAGCTAAACATAAATTGTATTTTTATGTTGGATGTAATTTAGACTATATTGCTTAATTAACTCAGGAACCACACGTGTGGAAGCACCTGCTTTCAATATACTTTGTATCCCTCATTTACTGACTTGTTTACTTTATTTTGGCAGTTACCTGTAGTCTGCTGTAGTACCACACATTTATATAGGGGTGTTTAGGGATAGTTTCGGGAATTAATGCAATCCCATGGAGAGTTAACGTTAGCCCAAAATACTAACATGATGAACAAAGACAATGCGAACGGAGATCTCAAAGAACAGCTCTCGAAGTAAGATAACATTTTGGGAAAAATCTGAAAACAACCCTTTCAGCTTTTCCATTACAGGATAAAGACTTCAAAACATGGCACAAATATACTTAGATCCAATGATGGATGAGAGTACTCGAGCCATCCATTCTGACAGCATTTATACCAGAGCATTTTGCCATCTCAATGTCTTCAGTGAAGTTTTCATTTGTAAAGGGCTAGATCTATTGCACTCACCTTAACCTGCCATCCTCTGCTGCCGCACCACCAGGGATGATCTTGGTGATGAAGATCCCTGGGTCATCGCCGATATGGGGGTTATCTGTCCCTCCAGCTATGCTGAAGCCCAACCCTGAGTTCCCCTGTAGAGCATGAAGAACAATTAATAATGAATCTAGCAGTACTTTTACACTTCTATTCCTTATAATGCTAACCTGTAAACTAGCCTAAATTACATCCAACATAAAAATACAAGTTCTGTTTAGCTTCATGCGTCACACACTTAGATGTTAAGTCCACCACTGAATCATTTGACAATTTAGCGATTATCTTGCAGGAGCATGTTTTCCCAGAATTCCACATATTTCCCAGTTTGCATAATACAAGGCCCCAACTTACTAGAAACTAGTACCAACTTAATATTTTGAGTACTAGTACTAGAAATATGTCTGAAAACACATTTTTTATAGTGAAAATAAATATACAGTGGGGAAAAAAAGTATTTAGTCAGCCACCAATTGTGCAAGTTCTCCCACTTAAAAAGATGAGAGAGGCCTGTAATTTTCATCATAGGTACACGTCAACTATGACAGACAAAATGAGGAAAGAAAATCCAGAAAATCACATTGTAGGATTTTTTATGAATTTATTTGCAAATTATGGTGGAAAATAAGTATTTGGTCAATAACAAAAGTTTCTCAATACTTTGTTATATACCCTTTGTTGGCAATGACACAGGTCAAACGTTTTCTGTAAGTCTTCACAAGGTTTTCACACACTGTTGCTGGTATTTTGGCCCATTCCTCCATGCCGATCTCCTCTAGAGCAGTGATGTTTTGGGGCTGTCGCTGTGCAACACAGACTTTCAACTCCCTCCAAAGATTTTCTATGGGGTTGAGATCTGGAGACTGGCTAGGCCACTCCAGGACCTTGAAATGCTTCTTATGAAGCCACTCCTTCGTTGCCAGGGCGGTGTGTTTGGGATCATTGTCATACTGAAAGACCCAGACACATTTAATCTTCAATGCCCTTGCTGATGGAAGGAGGTTTTCACTCAAAATCTCACGATACATGGCCCCATTCATTCTTTCCTTTACACGGATCAGTCGTCCTGTTCCCTTTGCATAAAAACATCCCCAAAGCATGATGTTTCCACCCCCATGCTTCACAGTAGGTATGGTGTTCTTTGGATGCAACTCAGCATTCTTTGTCCTCCAAACACGACGAGTTGAGTTTTTACCAAAAAGTTATATTTTGGTTTCATCTGACCATATGACATTCTCCCAATCCTCTTCTGGATCATCCAAATGCACTCTAGCAAACTTCAGACGGGCCTGGACATGTACTGGCTTAAGCAGGGGGACACGTCTGGCACTGCAGGATTTGAGTCCCTGGCGGCGTAGTGTGTTACTGATGGTAGGCTTTGTTACTTTGGTCCCAGCTCTCTGCAGGTCATTCACTAGGTCCCCCCGTGTGGTTCTGGGATTTTTGCTCACCGTTCTTGTGATCATTTTGACCCCACGGGGTGAGATCTTGCGTGGAGCCCCAGATCGAGGGAGATTATCAGTGGTCTTGTAATAATAATAATAATAATAATATGCCATTTAGCAGACGCTTTTATCCAAAGCGACTTACAGTCATGCGTGCATACATTTTTGTGTATGGGTGGTCCCGGGGATCGAACCCACTACCTTGGCGTTACAAGCGCCATGCTCTACCAGCTGAGCTACAGAGGAATGTCTTCCATTTCCTAATAATTGCTCCCACAGTTGATTTCTTCAAACCAAGCTGCTTACCTATTGCAGATTCAGTCTTCCCAGCCTGGTGGAGGTCTACAATTTTGTTTCTGGTGTCCATTGACAGCTCTTTGGTCTTGGCCATAGTGGAGTTTGGAGTGTGACTGTTTGAGGTTGTGGACAGGTGTCTTTTATACTGATAACAAGTTCAAACAGGTGCCATTAATACAGGCAACGAGTGGAGGACAGAGGAGCCTCTTAAAAAAGAAGTTACAGGTCTGTGAGAGCCAGAAATCTTGCTTGTTTGTAGGTGACCAAATACTTATTTTCCACCATAATTTGCAAATAAATTCATTACAAATCCTACAATGTGATTTTCTGGATTTTTATTTCTCAATTTGTCTGTCATAGTTGACGTGTACCTATGATGAAAATTACAGGCCTCTCTTTTAAGTGGGAGAACTTGCACAATTGGTGGCTGACTAAATACTTTTTTTCCCCACTGTAATTCCTAAGTATACTATTTGAAAGTGAGGTGAAGTGTTAGCATCAAGTGTAATTTCTGACAGTATACTAGACATATGTCTGAAAACCTACTTTTATAGCAAAAAGTAATATAATTCCTAAATATACTATTTTAAAGTGAAATAAACATACAATACAAGTCAATATTTAGCTTTTAGTTTGAAAAAAGTGAATTGACAATATACATTTATGAACTTCATTTTCGTACAGGTTAATTCGTACGGGATAATTTTCAAGTTTGCGCTTGACCACAATGGAATCCCCAGAAGATGACTTCATAACCGGTAAATATAATACAGAGGCGAAGGCAGAAAATGCATAATTCTCAAAGCCAATGTTTCTGTGTACAACAACCCAACTCTATCAGTTTTATGAGTTACATCCCGCTCGACACATTTACAAAATTAATGTGGACACTTTGATTAAATTGCTAGTTGATGGGAGTAGGGTCTACGGTTGCAAAATTTCTCGAACATTCAATAAATTCCCTGGTTTTCCCAAAATCCTGGTTGGAAGATTCCCGGAATAAGGAGGGAATAAGCAGGAAACCCAGATACTCTAACTAGGATTTCTGGAAAACCAGGGAATTTATTGAAAGTTCCTGGAATTTTGCAACCCTAGTAGGGGCATCTCTTGACTAAAAATCCACCCTGCAGGCTGAGCTGACGGACATGAGAATGAAATGGGCGCTGATCTCCCTCAGGGGAAGCTTCACTCTCAGAAATACAAAACACAGCTCAACCAGGCTGAGATGAGATGGAAGTAATGATAGCAAGCTCACTCAAGCGCACACATAATCAAAGCCCATTGGCTAGATAGGGCAATGGAAGTGGAGTGAATAGATAAAGGGTCCTGTGAGGTGAAGCCTGAATACACAGATGCAGCGTTAGCATTGGCCACTCTAAAGCCACCCTGTTTATGTCTGCTCTTGCCCGTCAAAGGGTGAGCTGTGCAGTGTGCACCAAAGGCTTCAGCCTCCGCTGTTGGCTGAATTATCACTTCCTTTGGCTGAACTGACCTTTTCCTGTTGTAGTTTATTGTTTCAGGTCACAAGGATCCTTTTTTGGCTGTCAAAATGTCATTCAGCAGCCAAGCTAAGCCTTTTATCGCCACTGAGCCTTGAGGATGTTAGCCCTGGCTTTTCTCATGCAAATGCTATGTCCCAATTAAGGGCTGGCCTGCTCAAAACACCCTCAGGACTTGGATGTTTGCGTTATTTCGCTTGTCTGGCTGAGATCAATTAGCGTTAGTGGAAAGTAAAACGGGTTCCTGTTTTAGTTTGTCAAAGGCACAGTAACCCCAGGCTTTCCGCTTCATGCACCAATTTGAAATAAAAATGGTAATGCAATCACAGATTGTTATTCTGTTATTCAGTTTGCGGAGTCATCTAGCTTCTCCAGCAGCTTCAAAATGGTGCATTATAATGGTGTCAGTTAGCTGCTTGTTTTTTTTATTCCTCCCTTGACAGGTGTGTGGGGTCAAGATCTTTTGAAACATATTGGCCTATTAACTCATCCTGCCTGTCACATTCAACGATTACGCTTCCTAGTTTATGAAGCCCTTTATGGGACATGTCTGAGATGAGCATGAAACAGGATATGGCATCCCTCGTTCAATTTAAATGACTGCAAAGTCCTCTCCGGGTAATTTTAAATAGAGTTTAAATAGAGTATTTTCAGATAGTGTGTTCATCAACTCACCCGCTCTAGTGTGATTTCTTCAAACTCATATTCAATTTCTGTCCCGTTGACCTGTGGGAAAACAAAATGTAAAATAAATTATGCATACCCAGTACAGAGGTGTGAGCATAGTCAGGGTTGGGTAGGTTACTTTCTAAATGTAATCCGTTAGAGTTGCTCGTTACCTGTCCAAAATTGTAAACAGTAACGTATCTCAGTAATGTAATTTGATTACTTTCAGTTACTTTTAGATTACTTTCCCTTAAGCGGTATTATGAATATTCCCAATTGATCGACATCTATAGCAGGATAAATCAATGTTAGAGTTTACATACAGTGGGGAGAACAAGTATTTGATACACTGCCGATTTTGCAGATTTTCCTACTTACAAAGCATGTAGAGGTCTGTAATTTTTATCATAGGTACACTTCAACTGTGAGAGACGGAATCTAAAACAAAAATCCAGAAAATCACATTGTATGATTTTAAGTAATTAATTTGCATTTTATTGCATGACATAAGTATTTGATACATAATAATAATAATAATAATATGCCATTTAGCAGACACTTTTATCCAAAGCGACTTACAGTCATGCGTGCATAAATTTTTGTGTATGGGTGGTCCCGGGGATCGAACCCACTACCTTGGCGTTACAAGCGCCGTGCTCTACCAGTTGAGCTACAGAGGACCACTACATCTCCAGCAGCTTCAAAATGCTACCAATACATCAGAAAAGCAGAACTTAATATTTGGTACAGAAACCTTTGTTTGCAATTACAGAGATCATACGTTTTCTGTAGGTCTTGACCAGGTTTGCACACACTGCAGCAGGGATTTTGGCCCACTCCTCCATACAGACCTTCTCCAGATCCTTCAGGTTTCGGGGCTGTCGCTGGGCAATACGGACTTTCAGCTCCCTCCAAAGATTTTCTAATGGGTTCAGGTCTGGAGACTGGCTAGGCCACTCCAGGACCTTGAGATGCTTCTTACGGAGCCACTCCTTAGTTGCTCTGGCTTTGTGTTTCGGGTCGTTGTCATGCTGGAAGACCCAGCCACGACCCATCATCAATGCTCTTACTGAGGGAAGGAGGTTGTTGGCCAAGATCTCTCGATACATGGCCCCATCCATCCTCCCCTCAATACGGTGCAGTCGTCCTGTCCCCTTTGCAGAAAAGCATCCCCAAAGAATGATGTTTCCACCTCCATGCTTCACGGTTGGGATGGTGTTCTTGGGGTTGTACTCATCCTTCTTCTTCCTCCAAACACGGCGAGTGGAGTTTAGACCAAAAAGCTCTATTTTTGTCTCATCAGACCACATGACCTTCTCCCATTCCTCCTCTGGATCATCCAGATGGTCATTGGCAAACTTCAGACGGGCCTGGACATGCGCTGGCTTGAGCAGGGAGACCTTGCGTGCGCTGTAGGATTTTAATCCATGACGGCGTAGTGTGTTACTAATGGTTTTCTTTGAGACTGTGGTCCCAGCTCTCTTCAGGTCATTGACCAGGTCCTGCCGTGTAGTTCTGGGCTGATCCCTCACCTTCCTCATGATCATTGATGCCCCACGAGGTGAGATCTTGCATGGAGCCCCAGACCGAGGGTGATTGACCGTCATCTTGAACTTCTTCCATTTTCTAATAATTGCGCCAACAGTTGTTGCCTTCTCACCAAGCTGCTTGCCTATTGTCCTGTAGCCCATCCCAGCCTTGTGCAGGTCTACAATTGTATCCCTGATGTCCTTACACAGCTCTCTGGTCTTGGCCATTGTGGAGAGGTTGGAGTCTGTTTGATTGGGTGTGTGGACAGGTGTCTTTTATACAGGTAACGAGTTCAAACAGGTGCAGTTAATACAGGTAATGAGTGGAGAACAGGAGGGCTTCTTAAAGAAAAACGAACAGGTCTGTGAGAGCCGGAATTCTTACTGGTTGGTAGGTGATCAAATACTTATGTCATGCAATAAAATGCAAATTAATTACTTAAAAATCATACAATGTGATTTTCTGGATTTTTGTTTTAGATTCCGTCTCTCACAGTTGAAGTGTACCTATGATAAAAAGTACAGACCTCTACATGCTTTGTAAGTAGGAAAACCTGCAAAATCAGCAGTGTATCAAATACCTGTTCTCCCCACTGTAGCTGGCCATAAATGGATGTTGCATTTGACTTTGGGTTATGTAGGCTTCTTCTAACCCATTGCTTTCTACTTCAAATCAAATAATAATATGATTAGGCTATATCTTTACAATTTAATACCCCTTGATATTCAAGAATAGGACTTGGAAAGATAGATTTGCCAAATTTTTTTACCTGAGCATAACCCAAAAACTAAGGACTTATTAGCCTACTCTGTTGTTTATGATTTTGTTGTAATGGAGGACTGATTGGGTCATTACTTCGAGTTGAAAAATAAATGCTGCTCTCATGGACTGGCATGCTTTGAGCACTGCCAAAAAGTGCTATTTGCATGTGAAAAATGAATGCTATTTGCTGCATTATAGGCCTAATGGTAAAAATGTTGATGGTGACACTTTGATATCTAGATAATTTGCAGCTGTTTAAGTCTATCAAAGGTGTACGAGTTTGAGTATGTGTCCGTTAGTACTGTGGATAATTTTTTTGAATCCGCACAAATTAGATTGAGCAATAAAAGCACCACTCATGGTCTTTTAAAATTAAACTTGTTTTTGACAATATGTGGAGCACAATACCACAGAGGAGTTTAGAAGGGAGGAATTCCCTCAAACTTCTATCCCATAGGCTGGGATCCACACTATGCAGCTGTTGCAAGAGCGTATTTTTCACTGGTTGAAAACAATGACACTCAAATTAGTATAATATGTTACATTGAGTATGGCTGCATAAGACAGAAGGTTACTTTTGGTTGGGTTGGGTGGATGGATGGGTGGGTGCTAAACCTAACCATAACCGGTAGCTTAGTGGGTAAGAGCGTTGTGCCAGTAACCGAAAGGTCGCTGGTTCTAATCCCCGAGCCGACTAGGTGAAAAATCTGTCGATGTGCCCCTGAGCAAGGCACTTAACCCTAATTGCTCCTGTAAGTCGCTCTGGATAAGAGCGTCTGCTAAATGACTAAAAAAATAAAAAAAATAAATAACAAAATAACCTCCAACCCTAACCCCTAGCCTAGCTAACGTTAGCCACATAGCTAACGTTAGCAAATTGTAATTGTACCATACAGTATCATACGAAGGGGGCGAAGGTATTTAGCTTGTCCGGGAGCAAGGCATCGGTGTCCGCGTCGTGGCTGGTTTTCCCGTGATTGTCTGGAGTCCCTGCCACATACGTCTCGTGTCTGAGCAGTTGAATTGCAACCACTTTGTCTCTGTACTGACGTTTTGCCTGTTTGATTGCCTTACAGAGGGCATAGCTGGACTGTTTGTACTCGTCCATGTATGACGATGCATGTAGTTTCTTCTTATTTTAACCATCCACACAGGGAAAGAACATTATGTGCTGGGAATCACCTCAGAATGCTTCATGTTGGATGTACAAGTATATATAATTTGACCCCTTTGCAGTGAGCATCCTTCAAACAAACTATTTCAAATGACCTATATGAGTGTTGATGGTTTTGGTGTCTGTGAAATTATACAGTTTAGGTTGAGTTAGAGACGGATGGGTAATCATAATATAATAATATAATATGCCATGGAGCAGCTGCTTTTATCCAAAGCGACTTACAGTAGTGTGTGCATACATTATTTTCGTATGGGTGGCCACAGTGGGAACTGAACCCAAAACCCTGACGTTGCAAGTACCGTGCTCTACCAACTGAGCTATACAGGACCACCTTGATGCTGTGTGAGTAAGAACCAGTAGAATCCATTACGGATCTTTCAGCTTTTTAGGCAGGCTACATTTTTTATAACTCACTGAATGGCAAGAAAAGCAGGAGCAGCGAAATGTAATCATACCACTGACAAGCTGTAATCATACCACTCACAAGCTGTAATCATACCACTGACAAGCTGTAATCATACCACTGACAAGCTGTGGGACTTGAAAGAGGGGAATCTCAGCACCATGGAGGAGCAGTTCTCCTTCAAGAACGTTTATTGGGCCATAAATATTCACATGGTTTCTACCTCGATTAGTTGATTAGTTGTTTTCTTTCAAAATCTTTATCCCGCCCTCTAAAACCCATTGCCTTAAAATACATTATTAGTCAAATAATTTGTATTCAGGGCGAGACCAGGAAATCTGGTAACAACGTGGACACAATGGATGGAAGTCTTGATTGAATAATTCAAAATGGTGCTCTCTTTTTCGTCTAGCACAGGCAGCGAATGAGCTAAGAGGCAAAGCAGTAAAATAATAAAGGACAACTTCTTGCAGGTCATTTAGAAACAAAGTGGCATTTCCAATGATGTTTAGTGACATTTATTGGAAACAGTCGAGGGACAAAATGCAATTAGCATCATGAGGGAACAGCATGCTTCTTCCAGACATTGGATGATGCAACTTTCAAATCAAATTTTATTTATTTGTCACATGCGCCGAATACAACAGGGGTAGTAGACCTTACCGTGAAATTCTTACTTTACTTACCTTAGCCAACAATGCAGAGTAAGAAAATGCTAAATAAACTAAATGTCAAAATAAATAAAAAAATAACAATAAAATAACAAATAGGCTATATACAGGGGGTACCGGTAGCGAGTCAATGTGCGGGGGTACGGGTTAGTCGAGGTAATTGTGGTCATATGTACATATGTAAAGTGACTATGCATAGATAATAAACAGCGAGTAGCAGCAGCGTAAAAAAGGGGGTCAATGCAAATAGTCTGGGTAGCCATTTGATTAACTGTTCAGAAGTCTTATGGCTTGGGGGTAGAAGCTGTTAAGGAGCCTTTTGGACCTAGACTTGGCGCTCCGGTACCACTTGCCGTGCGGTAGCACAGAGAACAGTCTATGACTTGGGTGGCTGGAGTCTTTGACAATTTTTAGGGCCTTCCGCTGGCACCGCCTGGTATAGAGGTCCTGGATGGCAAGAAGCTTGGCCCCAGTGATGACATCACTGGGCCGTACGCACTACCCTCTGTAGCGCCTTGCGGTCAGATGCCGAGCAGTTGCCATACCAGGTGGTGATGCAACCAGTCAGGATGCTCTCGATGGTGCAGCTGTATAACTTTTATTAAGATCTGAGGACCCATGCCAAATCTTTTCAGGCTCCTGAGGGGAAATAGGCGTTGTTGTGCCCTCTTCATGATTGTCTTGGTGTGTTTGGACCATGATAGTTTGTTGGTGATGTGGACACCAAGGAACTTGAAGCTCTCGACCCGCTCCACTACAGACCCGTTGGTGTGAACGGGGGCGTGCTCGGGCCTCCTTTTCCTGTTGTCCACGATCAGCCCCTGGGTCTTGCTCACGTTGAGGGAGAGGTTGTTGTCCTGGCACTACACTGCCAGGTCTCTGACCTCCTCCCTATAGGCTGTCTCATCGTTGTCTGTGATCAGGCCTACCACCATTGTGTCATCGGCAAACTTAATGATGGTGTTGGAGTCTTGCTTGGCCATACAGTTGTTGGTGAAAAGGGTACAGGAGGGGACTAAGCATGCACCCCTCAGGGGCCCCCGTGTCGAGGACCAGCGTGGCAGATGTGTTGTTGCCTACCCTTACCACATGGGGGTGGCCTGTCAGGAAGTCCTGGAACCAGTTGCAGAGAGAGGTGTTCAGTCCCAGGGTCCTTAGCTTAGTGATTAGCTTGGAGGGCACTATGGTGTTGAACGCTGAGCTGTAGTCAATGAACAGCATTCTCACGTAGGTGTTCCTTTTTTCCAGGTGGGAAATGGCAGTGTGGAGTGCAATAGAGATTGCATCATCTGTGGATCTGTTGGGGTGGTATGCAAATTGGAGTGGGTCTAGGGTGTTTCTGGGATGATGGTGTTGATGTGAGCCATGAACAGCCTTTCAAAGCACTTCATGGCTACAGACGTGAGTGCTACAGGTCGGTAGTCATTTAGGCAGGTTACCTTAGCGTTCTTGGGCACATGGACTATGGTGGTCTGCTTGAAACATGTAGGTATTACAGACTCAGTCAGGGAGAGGTTGAAAATGTCAGTGAAGACACTTGCCAGTTGGTTAGCGCATGCTCTGAGTACACGTCTTGGTAATCCGTCTGGCCCTGCGGCCTTGTGAATGTTGAGCTGTTTAAAGCTCTTACTCACATCGCCTACGGAGAGCGTGATCACACAGTCATCCGGAACAGCTGGTGCTCTCATGCATGCTTCAGTGTTGCTTGCCTCGAAAAACGCAGTTAGCTTGTCTGGTAGGCTGGGCTTCCTTTTGTAATCCGTAATAGTTTGCAAGCCCTGCCACATCTGACGAGCGTCAGAGCAGTTGTAGTATGATTCAATCTTAGTCCTGTATTGATGCTTGGCTCGTTTGATGGTTCGTCAGAGGGCATAGCAGGATTTCCTATAAGCCTCCGGATTAGTGTCCAGCTCCTTGAAAGCGGCAGCTCTAGCCTTTAGCTCAGTGCGGATGTTGCCTGTTATCCATGGCTTCTGGTTGGGATACTTTATTTTCACCCTAACTCTTGCTCATTCATTTAGCATCTCACTCCAAATTGTGTTCAAATGGCTTTTTGAAGAACTTTGTCCTCCCAGAGTCCCAGTGCCAACAAATAGAAACCATTAATAATAAATATCTGTTAAGAGAAAAGTTCTGATGTCAAACCAAAATGCTGGCTTTTGGGCTGTACAAAATCAGTGGTCCTGTGTAGGTGTTTTATTTATAACAACTATCAATAATTCACAATAGTGGCCTTATTTGTTTTACCCATACACTGTATGTTGTGTTCCAGATAAATATTTAAGAATATAATGTTCTGCCATTGACAACCAGTGCTGGAAAGTCTTACCTGTAAAGACTACTTAAAGTGGGTATAGGGTTGCATGAAGTTGCATCTTGCACTCAGCTCGAATCAATCCACAGCGAAATATCTGCCGTTAGTGCCTATAAACATAATCAAATCAATTGCCGAAAAAGAAAATGTAACTCACGTAAGGTACAGACTCCAGAGTGTCCGTGTTGACAATTATTGGGGCGGGACTAGCCTGAAAAAGAGAGAAAGAGGGGGAGAGGAAGATAAGAAAAAGCAAGAGAAGCCTGGATCCACCAGTGTCCTACTTTCTATAAATGGATCCAAGGGACAGCCTCTGGATCATGTGGTGACTTCACCCTGTATGATGAAGAATTCCAGAGCCCTCCTCCAGACGCTACAGTGCCTTCGGAAAGTATTCAGACCACTTGACTTTTTCCACATTTTGTTACGTTACAGCCTTATTCTTAATTGTATATATAAAAAAACATTTACCCCCTTTTTCTCCCCAATTTCATGATTACGATCTTATCTCATCTCTGCAATTCCCCAACGGGCTCGATCATGCGTCCTCCGAAACATGACCCGCCAAACCGCGCTTCTTAACACCCGCTTGCTTAATCCGGAAGCCAACCGCACCAATGTGTCAGAGGAAACACTGTTCAACTGACGTCCGAAGTCAGCCTGCAGGCGCCCGGCCCGCCACACTAGAGCGCGATGAGCCAAGTAAAGCCCCCCCGGCCAAACCCTCCCCTAACCCGGACGACGCTGGGGCCAATTGTGCGCCGCCCTATGGGACTCCCAGTCACGTCCGGTAATGACATAGCCTGGGATTGAACCCCAGGCTGTAGTGACGCAGCAACACTGCGATGCAGTGCCTTAGACCGCTGCACCACTTGAGAGGCCGGTTACAGCCTTATTCTAAAATAGATTAAATATAATTTTTTTCAGCAATCTACACACAATACCCCATAATGACATTTTTGCAAATGTATAAAATACAAAATAAAAATGTATTTACATAAGTATTCAGACCCTTTGCTATGAGACTTGAATTTGAACTCAGGTGCATCCTGTTTCCATTGATCATCCTTGAGATGTTTCTACAACTTGATTGGAGTCCAGTTCTGGTAAATTCACTTGATTGGACATGATTTGGAAAGGCACAGACCTGTCTATATAAGGTCCCACAGTTGATAGTGCATGTCAGAGCAAAAACCAAGCCATGAGGTCGAAGGAATTGTCCGTAGAGCTCCGAGACAGGATTGTGTCGAGGCATAGATCCAGGGAAGGGTACTAAAACATTTCTGCAGCATTGAAGGTCCCCAAAAACACAGTGGCCTCCATCATTCTTAAATGGAAGAAGTTTGGAACCACAAAGACTCTTCCTAGAGCTGACCACCTGGCCAAACTGAGCAATCGGGGGAGAAGGGCCTTGGTCAGGGAGGTGACCAAGAACCAGATGGTCACTCTGACAGAGCTCTAGAGTTCCTCTGTGGAGATGGGAGAACCTTCCAGAAGAACAACCATCTCTGCAGCACTCCACCAATCAGGCCTTTATGGTAGAGTGGCCAGATGGAAGCCACTCCTCAGGAAAAGGCACATGACAGCCCACTTGGAGTTTGCCAAAATGCACCTAAAGACTCTCAGACCATGAGAAACAAGATTCTCTGGTCTGATGAAACCAAGATTGAACTCTTTGGCCTGAATGCCAAGCGTCACGTCTGGAGGAAACCTGGCACCATCCCTACGGTGAAGCACGGTGGTGGCAGCATCATGCTGTAGAGATGTTTTTCAAGGGCAGGGACTGGGAGACTAGTCAGGATCGAGGCAAAGATGAACGGAGCAAAGAACAGAGAACCTTGATGAAAACCTGCTCCAGAGCGCTCAGGAACTCAGACTGGGGCGAAGGTTCACCTTCCAACAGAACAACGACCCTAAGCACACAGCCAAGACAACGCAGGAGTTGCTTTGGGACATGTCTCTGAATGTCCTTAAGTGGCCCAGCCAGAGCCCGCACTTGAACCCGATCGAACATCTCTTGAGAGACCTGAAAATAGCTGTGCAGCAACGCTCCCCATCCAACCTGACAGAGCTTGAGAGGGTCTGCAGAGAGGAATGGGAGAAATTCCCCAAATACAGGTGTACCAAGCTTGTAGCGTCATACCCAAGAAGACTCGAGGCTGTAATCGCTGCCAAAGGTGCTTCAACAAAGTACTGAGTAAAAGGTCTGAATACTTATGTAAATGCAATATTTCTGATGTTTTTTTTTTATACATTTGCAAACATTTCTAAAAACCTGTTTTCATTTGTCATTATGGGGTATTGTGTGTAGATTGATGAGGAGAGAAAAACAGTTCAATAAATGTTAGAATAAGGCTGTAACATAACAAAATGTGTAAAAGTTCAAGGGGTCTGAATACTTTCCGAATGCACTGTATGGTTAGCATCCATTCTGACAAACAGCACTCAGAAATGAGATGCTATAGAATCACGTTCCTTAAAAAAATAAGAATTCCTTCATTATAGTTAAACAGTAAGAGAACGTTTCCAGGCCACATATTACGCCTGGTCCTGGACTAAAAAGCATGGATGGATATTCTCCATCAAGTTCATTTTTTTGTCCAGGACTAGGCTTAATCTGTGTCTGGGAAACCGACCCTGAATACATAGAGTATAATACATGCTAAATGTGCAGGCCTCTAATAATAATCATCCATAATAGCATAACAGTAAATGACCACAGAATGGCTTACGGCATTTGAAGTAAATTAAGTGGATAGACTAATGATAGAGCTCCCATCCCAGGTAAGACTATGCACATATTTGCAGGTCATTGGCGGCCAGATAATTCTAAGCAATATGATGGCTCCACATTAGCTCCTAATAGCCTTTCCGGTGCTCACGCTTACAGAATGCCCTGAAAGGGAACTGCTGGCTCAGGCAAGAGATTCCGGTGTCTTTCAGCCTTTTCTGCTAATAATTCAGTCAAACCTTTTGATGTTTCCATCAAACAAAGCTCCTTCATGTTTTTACACAAAGGCAAATTGTTTGGAGCAGGTAGACTGATGTGTGTGAATGTGTGTGTGAGTGTGTGTTTGTGTCATTTTAACATTCACAGGCAATGCGATAGAAAAGCCAGTCAATGATTGAGGCAGAATGGTGTTTGTGGGTAGATCAATATATCTGATTGAGACACTTTCTGCTTACATTGCACTGCTGCTAATTGACTGAATAGATTCTCAACCACACAATCTGTCTCAATCAGGGAAAGGAAGGACTAGAGAGGGAGAGGAGAGTATGTGTGTATGTGTGCATGCCCGTGTGCAAAGAGAAAGGGAGAGAGGAAGATTGATTTGAGTGCTTTTAAATGCGCAGCACTTAATCAATCGAGGCGTTACTCGGGATTATTCAAAGGCAGTTTTTATTTTACCTGCAGAAAATGAATGTAAACCTTTATGCCTTTCCAGGAATACTAGACTCAGTCCCCCCCCCAAAAAAAAAAAATTTGTGCAAGTCAGCAGTCAAGCTTTCAGTGCAGACAAAACAAACTTATGATGATGCAAAATGCCTCATATGATGCAAAACACATTCATCATCATAAGAGTTTTTGCTTTGTACTGAGTGCTCCATGTTGTAAACTTGACTGCAGACAATCTGTGGGGACTCTCTCCATAAAACCACCATGGTCTAGGTTACACTATGTGTAAAGGAGGAGTGAGGAGCAAGATTTTCCCTATGTAATATTTTGTCATAGTGTACACTGGACATCGTAATGTCACACACACAGACACACAGTTTGGCACTCAGCATGTGTGCAAGTCCTGTGCACACATCTGAATACATGCAGTACATACAGAGTACAGACACTGTACAATTGCGTGACTGCATTTCCAACCCATTTTTGTCTTCCTCTCTTGACAATGGCGCACACTGACATCAGTTCTCTCAGAGAAGCATATTAAGTCTGAGGCCCTATCTGAATTTCCTGTGATTCTTCGCATCCCCTCTCCTCACTTCCTTCTCAACCATATTGGAGGAGATGATCCAAAGTCCCTCCCTCAAATGTGTTTTGAAAAGGACGCAAGGAGAGATGATGTGAGGAATCGAGGAAAGACGAATTGAAAAAGAGCCTAAACCTCCAACAAACGGGACTGAGCAGGATTCACTGTGGGGAGCCTGGTCTGATCTACGTCTGGGGTTAATTAGGTGTTAATAACTACAATACACCGAGCCTGTTAATTACAAGTCTAACTCTGCATCCCAAATGGCACCCTATTCCCTTTAAAGTGCACTACTTTTGAACAGGTTCGATCGGGCTCATGTTAAAAGTACTGCACTACATAGGGAATAGGGTGCAATTTGTGTTGCATAAGAACCCTTTTAGCTATGGGAATTCCACCTCAATTCTATAAAACATGCAATAATTTGGCAATACCACTAAACCACTCTGTCTGTGGATTACTGCCGATTAGTTGGAGATTAAATGTAAAAATGTTTTTGCTGAAATTGAACTACATGTACTTACTGTTATTATTATTGCTAATGTCGAAAGAAAATGGTTGCATCCCAAATGGCACCCTATGGGCTCTGGTCAAAAGTAGTGCACTATATGGAATAGGGTGCTATTTGGGATGCCGGCTACTTCTTATATTTGACTGCACAATGTAGCAGAATATATCAACAACTATTTCAACCACTCATGCTGCCAATGACTTTGCCTTTCACTGTTCACCTAGGCAAATAACGTACATGAACATTTACAGTGCCTTCAGAAAGTAGTCATACCCCTTGACTTATTCCACATTTGGTTGTGTTACAGACTGAATTCCAAATGGATTAAATTAACAAAAGATTCTCACCCATCTACACACAATACCCCATAATGACAAAGTGAAAACATGTTTTTAAAAATGTAATTTACATAAGTATTCACACCCCTGAGTCAATACTGTAGAAGCACCTTTGGTAGCGATTACAGCTGTGTCTTTCTGGGTAAGTCTCTAAGAGCTTTCCACAGCTGGATTGTACAACATTTGCCCATTATTCTATTAAACGTCTTCAAGCTCTTTCAAATTGGTTGTTGATCATTGCTAGACAACCATTTTCAGGTCTTGCCATAGATTTACAAGTAGATTTAAGTCAAAACTGTAACTCAGCCACTCAGGAACATTCTCTGACTTCTTGGTAAGCAACTCCAGTGTAGATTTGGCCTTGTGTTTTAAGTTATTGTCCTGCTGAAAGGTGAATTAATCTCCCAGTGTCTGGTGGAAAGCAGACTGAACCAGGTTTTCCTCTAGGATTTTGCCTGTGCTTAGCTTCATTCCGTTTATTTTTTATCCTGAAAAACTCCCCAGTCCTTAATGATCACAAGCATACCCATAACATGATGCAGCCATCACTATGCTGATAAATATGCAGAGTGGTACTCAGTAATGTGTTGTTTTGGATTTGCCCCAAACATAACACTTTGTATTCAGCACAAAAAGTGAATTGCTTTGCCACATTTCTTGCAGTATTACTTTAGTACCTTGTTGCAAACAGGATGTATGTTTTGGAATATTTGTTATTCTGTACAGACTTCCTTCTTTTCACTCTGTCAATTAGGTTAGTATTGTGGAGTAACTACAATGTTGTTGATCCATCCTCAGTTTTCTCCGATCACAGCCATTAAACTCTGTAACTGTTTTAAAGACACCATTGGCCTCATGGTGAAATCCCGGTTTCCTTCCTCTCCGGCAACTGAGTTAGGAAGGACACCTGTGTCTTTGTAATGACTGGATGTATTGATACACCATCCAAAGTTTAATTAATAACTTCACCATGCTCAAAGGGATATTCAATATCTGTTTGTTTTTTACCCATCTACCAACAGGTGCCCTTTTATGTGAGGCATTGTAAAACCTCCCTTGTCTTTGTGGTTCAATCTGTGTTTGAAATTCACTGCTTGACTGAAAAACCTTACAGATAATTGTATGTGTGGGGTACAGAGATGAGGTAGTCATTCAAAAATTATGTTAATTGTATGTGTGGGGTACAGAGATAAGGTAGTCATTCAAAAATCATGTTAAACACTATTATTGCACACAGAGTGAGTCCATGTAACTTAATATGTGACTTGTTAAGCAAAGTTTTACTCCTGAACTTATTTAGGCTTGCCATAACAAAGGGGTTGAATACTTATTGACTCAAGATATTTCAGCTTTTCATTTTTAATTAATTTGTGAAACTTTCAAAAAACATAATTCCACTTTGACATTATGGGGTATTGTGTGACAAAAAATTCTACATTGATTCAATTTTAAATTCAGGCTGTAACACAACAAAATGTGGAAAAAGCCAAGGGATGTGAATACTTTCTGAAGGCACTGTAGCATGTCATTTGCATTGGTGCTGATCAAATAATAACTAAGGGGAAACTTTTATCCTGTCAGACTTATCTTAAGCTGTTACTTTAGTATGGGATGTTGAGAACCCTGTACTCCAGTTTCTCAGTGCAGCCTTGTGCTCCAGTTCATTTTGCTCAATAATTTAAGGGTGAACCTATGTGTAGTGCATCATGCATAGAAATAAAAAATCTATAATTTACAAGAATTTGTTCACATGTAAAAACAGTCAACAACACAAGCAGATAAAGAGAAGGGGAACAAGAGAGAGATTGAGAGAGGGGAAAATAGTGGGAGAGCTACATCAAGGTTGCGGTAATGAAACAAAGCAGTGTTCGGTCTTGGAGAACGGTTTAAATGATTGTGGGGAGTAGATGAGGGGGAGAGAAAGAGTGAGAGAGAGAGAAAGGTACTCCCAAATCAGTGTAGTCCCTCCTGGATAGGGGTAAGCCCATCAGAAGACGAGGTGAAATAAGTACCATGTTGCTTACACCTTTCCAATCCCTTCAGATCTGCAGGAGTGCCCAGGGAGGAGAGTCTACTCAGCAAACAGGGAACCTTCCCAGAACATTAGCTAAGATTCCCATTAAGTTCTAGTTAGGGTTTTATCTTAAATTAGGATGGTAACATCCCAAAAACATTCAAATCATGTTTTTGATGACATATTTTTCTTCAGAAAATTATTTTTATGAAATATCCTTGGAATGTTCTTGGAATGTTCTTCTATAGTTCACCACCACAGAACATTCCCCAAACATTCTCATTAGGTTTCCAGGTAATGTAATAACACAATGTACCAGTAATGTTTTTGGAAAAATTGCAATCTGGTTTTCGGGCCCACCACAGCACAGAGAATGAATGATCTTAGAGCCAACACAGATGCCAAACAGCTCTCTGTCCTTGTACTCTTCGATTTAAGTGCTGCATTCAACACTGTTTACCATGATGTCCTTCTGGACAGACTGGAGAGGTGGGTTGGCCTCTCCGGTCCAGTTCTAAATTGGTTTAGGAACTATTTAGCCAGTCAAGAGTTTTTTGTCAGCCTTGGTGAACATAACTCAGAGAAAATACATATCACATGTGGCGTTCCACAAGTTTCGATTTTGGGTCTGGTACTGTTCAGTTTATATATGTTACCCCTTGGCAGCGTTATCAGAAAGCACAGCATTGATTTTCACTGCTACGCAGACGCATTTCTGTGTCACCAGAGGATTTTAGCTCCACGGATAAAGTATAAGACTGTATTAGTGATTTAAATACTTGGATGGCTCACAACTTCCTCTAGCTAAATCAAGACAAGACCAAGGTACTTATTGTTGGAGCCAAAGCACAGAGAAAATCCGGCCGCACATTTTAATTCACAGGCAATAAAGATAAAACACCAGGTAAAAAACCTAGGTGTTATTTTAGATTCTGAACTCAATTTCGAAACACACATTAGGAATGTGACCAAAATAGCTTTTTACCACCTGAGGAACATTGCCAAGGTGCGGCCGTTTCTCTCAGGCTGATACAGAGAGACTCATCCATGCTTTTATTACAAGCAGGCTTGACTACTGTAATGCTCTCCTATCTGGTCTACCCAAGAAAGCCATTGGTCAACTGCAAAACATACAGAATTCTGCAGCATGGGTACTGACTAAGACCAGACGGAGAGCACACATTACACCGGTTTTAAGGTTTCTGCACCGGCTGCCTGTGAGTTTTATAATTAATTGTAAGATTCTTCTATTGGTTTTTAAATCAATCCATGATTGTGCACCCCAATACATGTCCCTCAGGCCTTTTAACTATCCCAAAGCCTACGGCCGAGAGGCAGCCTTTATTTACTATCCCCACAGCCTCTGGAAAAGCCTGCCTGAGAACCTGAGGGGGGCCAAAAATGTGGACATATTTAAAAGAGATCTTAAAACACACCTTTTAAGCTTTGCTTTTCCTCAGGGTGCTTTTTAGTCGATCAGTTTTTATTGTTATTCTTTTGTTTTTTAATCCTCTTATGTTTGTGTAGTAAATATTTCCATTTTTATTTTCATTGTTTTTTCCTGGGAAGCATATTGTGTTGCATTCCATGACTGAAATGTGCTGTATAAATAAAGGTTGATTTGATGGTACATAGTGTCCAGCATACATGTACAAGGTATCACCATAATCAATTACAGGCCCTCGATACTCTTATAAAGCTACAGTGTGATGTTATGACATGATTGTTCCAATAATGTTCCCTAAACATTCTTCAGCAATCATGTCTGGATTAAATTAAATTGGTTCTGAAAAACCAATACTGGAACCTACCCAGGTATAGGATCTTAATTTGACCAGTTTCTCCCGTGTAGCTCAGTTGGTAGAGCATGGTGCTTGCAACGCCAGGGTTGTGGATTCGATTCCCACGGGGGGCCAGTATGAAGAAAAAAAAAGAGCGTCTGCTAAATGACTAAAATTGAAAAAAATTGCAGGAAAATAATCCTGCAGCAACTGGAAATGTGAATTACTATATGGATTATAATTAATGGTTATTTTTGTATGGGTTGATACATTGTTCGTTAGGGCAAATCAAGTCTGACATTTTAAAGTGGAAATTACAAACTTTAGAAGCATTTATAACCCTCTAATACACTTTTCATTTCCTGCAGCGCAGGAAAATGTATCCTGCAACAGGGTGGTCAAATTAAGATCCTGTATAGGCCTAACAATCAATGATGTGTATTGATAACAACAAACAGCCCAGCAAACCGGGAATATTCCCAGAACATTAGCTAACATTCCCATTAAGTTCTAGTTAGGGTTTGAGCTGACATTAGGATAACGTCCCACAAACATTGAAATAATGTTTTTTTTATCACCAAATACTTTTTTTTATAAGAAAATGTTTGAAATGAAATATCCTTCTAACATTCACTAAAATGTTGGTCACCACATCTGTAAAAAAAAAAATACCACAGATCATTCCCCTAAGGTTCTCATTCGGTTGCCAGGGAATGTAATAACACAATGTTCCGGTAATGTTCTTAGAACATACTGCCACAACAAAATGTGACTTGTTTCAGGAAACTAGGCGTATGTTGCGCGTCACTACTTCACAGGAGAGGCATTTGAATGTAAACATTTTATTATTTTATTTTTCTAAATGCGTTTTTTGGCAGATATGCCTTCTGGAACTTGTGAAATGTCATGTGCCTCAATGACAAACTTGTATGCCATCTGTAAATACAAACAAAATTGTTAAATTTACGAGCCTAGTTGGTTTAGCCACGGAAAACGACAGGAAACTTCCTGCTAGCCATGATTGGCTGAAAATGTATGCACTCACTAACTGTAAGTCGCTCTGGATAAGAGCGTCTGCTAAATGACTAAAATGTAAAAAAAAAAAAATGGATGGGCTGGACATGCCGAGAGATTAGTTCGTATTGGTCTGCCATGTAGCACGCTTCTGTCTATAATGAGCTGCTCAGTATGTGTAGGTAATCCTTTCTAACGCAGATTTTTTTTAAAGATAGCTCCACTTTCTGGAGGACCGAGTTTTGAAATCAGTGGAATGCCCGGTGGAAGCGGAGTATGACAGTTAAGGAAATTGAGAAAATTCAGGCGTTTGATTGCAAATGCGGAGGGAGTGAAAAGAGAACACAGAAGGCTGTTGTATAAAATGCCTGTCTCCGGATTACATCTTCAAACTAAGGGCAACCATGGAATCCGTGACAGAGAGGGAGAAGCGTTCATCCATGTATACGGGTAAGAGAGTCTAGCTAGCTACATTTTCAGATATTATACGTTCCTAATTTTGTCAAAATCTGTTTTCATTGCAAGTTAAAGCGTACTGTTAGCTATCTAGCTAACGTTAGCTAGCTGACTGGCTCACCAGCTACCATTACGTGTATGATCTGTGTAGTAATTTTATTCGTATCTCAGAGCCATTTGCATTGCTAGTTATAGCCTAACGTTAGCTAGCTATCTAACATTGAACCAACCTAGTTGGTTAGCGTTTAGCTACCTGTAGATTCATGGAAGGTAGTAACGTTATGATTTGGGATTATGGTTAATTGTTTATCTAGCTAAACAAAATACTCCACTATGCAAGTAACCATTTCACTGTACCGTTTACACCCTCTGTATCCTGTGCATGTGACAGATAAACAGATTTTATTTGATATAGATGTGTTTACCAGAGACGGTAATGTGAAGAACAACATGACCTGCACCAAAGTCAAATTAGGCTATAACGTTAGGCCAACGAGACAGTGTCCAAGTTCAACAATTATCTGGTAGAATGCCCTGCTTATATTTCATCACACTCACAACCGTAAGCTATTAACTGTAATTAGCTCGCCATTAACTTGTAAATAATGATCTTCTTGTGAGTTTATTTTCCTGCAATAACGAATGACAACTGTACACAGACATGTCGATAGACGTAGTATAAACCAGCCTTTAGTCTTTGGTTGTTTAGTACACTACCATACTCTCTGTTTAGCACATGGCCTCACATGTGAATCCTTAAAGAGATGGGTGGGGCTAAGGCTTAAGAGGGTGTGAACGATGCTGAATGGGTGTAGACAAAGATGAGCTCTCCAGTAGATGTACCAAAACATTCAAGGGTCATTTTCTCAAAAGTGGGGTTACAAATTTATCAACTTTCAAAGCAGAATTACTTTCCCATTGTTCCTCAACTGTAGTGTATGATATACAATTTCTAGCTCTGAGTCTCTACTTTTATCCAATGTAAAAAATACAATTTCAAATTTTGCTACATAAGACCTAATCAAGCTGGTCGGTCACAAATGTGGGAGCAATAGAAGTGGTTCTGAGGAAACATTATAGGAACGTTCTGCTAACGTTGATGGATATATTATTTCAAAACACCCATAACAACAAGTTATAGGATATTCCTACAATGGTCTCATGAAGTTATAGTGCGGCATTATGACATGACTTCAGCAATAAAATGTTGGAGCAATAGAAGTTGTTCTAAAAAAAACATTCCTGGAATATTCAGTTATGTTGATGGAGATATTACTACAAACAAGAAACATTACTGCGCGACTCTTATCAAGTTATTCTGTGAGGTTATGACATGATGATCCAGAATTGTTATAAAAACATCCTTCAACGATAATGGAAGTAGTTCTGATCACATTACTGCAATGTTCTTTTAATATTGATGTGTAATGTAACATTATTATATGAAGTTGTCAAACTTGTAAGAAATAACATTTTAATCTTCTTACATAATTATATTTTCTTATGGTATTGTCCAAACATAGCTATAGCTTTTTTAAAGAATGGTAATCAGGTAGATTTGAACCTGTGATCTGCCATCTTCAAGCCCTGTAGGCTACTTAGTGTGCTGCGCCACCAGGATCTTAATGTTTCTAGTGGATTTCCCTTTGTACCGAAATCTTTAAATTATGATCTAAACTATGGCTATATGTCTTAGTACATATGCACATCTATGTACACCTCACTACAATCTGCCAGGCAATAATTTAACATGATTTCTGAAATCAAGTTTGTAGGGAAAATAAAAGTCAAAACATCACAACTTTACAGAATATAAAGAAGATTGATAAAGAAATAATAGAGGACAGTTATTTTTCTAGATTGTTATCCTCTCTTTTGCAAAGACAAAGACCGCAACCTGGAAGTCAGGATAAAGTTGTAAACCGCTTTATATTTTTGTTAATCCCATCCCAGTGGATTTATTCCAGTAATAACACTGCAAAGCACCCAGGTTCGATACCCGCTTGTGACCATCGACAAGATACGGTAATACTATGTATGTACAATAAATGTCTAATACATTGTCATGTGATTGCAAATAATTGCCATATGTGTTTCTACATGGATTGTTGTACAATACACTTCATCACCAGTAAGACAACAATAACACATTAAAGAAACATTAATGGGCTGTTCAACATGTAATTTTATCATTCTGGGAGCATAGGAATAACATTCAAAGAACATTGAGGGAATGTTTTGTGCACACATATACAAACATTATAAGAATGTTATCACAACTGGACAGATTTTGTGTTTTGAGAACCTATCTCGTGTCATACACCCACAATGTTCCCATAACCTAAATAAATGTGAAGTCCCCACAATTTTCCCACCCCCTAATGAAATATTCTGGGAACCTTTAGAAAACTGACAATGTGTTCTGGGAACATACTTGCAAGGTCAGGCGAATGTTTTATACATTGTATAATCATCAGCACAACTAGACAGTTTTTGTGTTAAGAGAACATTTGCCGCAACCTAACGACTGTTCTGGGAACTTTCACAGAACCAATTTTGGTTTGCTAGGTAGGGGGTGATTTGGGATTCAGGGGTAGAGAGAGTAGTAGAGATGAAATGAGAGTGGAGCTCAGTAAAAGAGGAGAGGACAATATAGCAAATGAGAGATTAGTGATACAGGGAAAAAGGGTCCCATTTGGGATGCAACCATTCTCTGTTCAGCTCCATATATTAACGGGAAACCCTAGTAAAACCAGACTGCTGCATCGCCTCATTGCAATCCTGTAGCCTTGGTCCCCAACGAGACGATGGATGTTCCAACATTATTTGCTCTTGGCACACATCCCCCATGGCAATTTCAGTCGTGCTCAGTTGCACAAACATTATTCATCGGACCAATAAGCATGCATTGCATAAAGATTTAAAGCAAACCTTTACTAGACGTCACACATGATCCCATTGTAATTGCCAAGATTGGTTATGTATTTGGAATTGGGAAGTCGTATTTTTTATTACGGTCTGAATTTTTATGTTATGGCATAGTGCCTTATCTGTCAATGACAGATAGACATCCAAACAACCAAAAAACTGACTGTCAGATCTGACACTGTTTTAGACAGATTTTTCCTATTGGGAACTCCAACATTGACACTTTATTATACTTAACAAAAATATAAACACAACATGTAAAGTGTTGGTCCCATGTTTCATGAGCTGAAATAAAAGATCCAAGAAATGTTACATATGCACAAAAAGCTCTCACATTTGTGTACAAAAAAAAAAACTCCCAAGTGGATGAGCCTGGCTCCCAAGTGCCCCTACCCAGTCATGTGAAATCCATAGATTAGGGCCTAATGAATTTATTTAAATTGGCTGATTTCCTTATATGAGCTGTAACTCAGTAAAATCGTTGAAATTGTTGCATGTTGTTTTTATATTTTTGTTCAGTATAGTTGAAAAGACATCATTTCAACCAGTTATGTAATTGAAATGACGTCTTTTCAGCCTTTTTTATTCACTGGGATTGTGCCACTTCGCCGCTCAGGAAGTGAGAACCACAATCAGTCTAATTACTGACTTCCTCTCTCTAATAACCTTAATCAATACACTACAAGAGGAAATGACACTAGACACCGTTTGTCAATACCATGAAATTACATGATATGGTTTCATTCAGAAGTCGAGATTTAAAAATATGTTAGGACATGTAAAAAGCTTATGGTGCAGATAGCAGACTTGCCAAAGTAAAAATACAGAGCAGCCCAAGAAATAATGCTGCAGTTTCTGTGATTATTATCTGTGTATAATTAAGATGTATTTATATCAATGACTCATGTGTGGACCCACAAAAAAGACAAAAATCCATTCATATTTCATAGTCCAAATAGTATGTGTGTGTGTGTGTGTGCTTGTGTTGCCCACTTATTCACCTGAGCCTCTTTCCATACTTTCCCAAAAGTATTATCTCAGACACTGGGGAGGTTACCAAACACATTTTTACAAGAGATAGCTGAACACTTCCATCCAAAATCTTTAAAAACACTTTGATAAGTCAATGAACTCTGGCAAAAACATTTTCAGTCACAAAGACACGCGCCTGCACGCACACCCAAATGAGCCGTGCAAACACACTATTTCACAGTGTATCGCAGATAGCTATTCACTTTAACATCACCAAGCTAATGGACTGGGAGGAGAAAGCATTGCTCCATTCACATATTATGCAAGAGTGCATCTTCTGAACAGCGCATCCTCAACTCACACATCATTTTAGATGTGACTACTGGGTATCTGCCTGCTCTGGGGTGAAGTTTCCCCTAGGTACAGATCTAGGATCAGCTTCCCCTCCCCAAACCCTAACCTTAACCATTAGTGAGGAAAAACCTAAACTGAACCAAGATCAAGGTCAGTAACTTTACCCATCTATCTGCCTACAGCTTGTGTCACTCTCTGAGGCAAATGTCACAGAAGCCTCGTTTTAGAAACACAGTGAAACAGAGTAATGATTCAGATACAAGTCTGAATGAAAATGCATCCTAGCTGCATTTAGTTTAGGCTTTGTCCTCTTGTTAAGACAATGCCTGTTGGCATACTGGCATAGCCACTTAATATTGTAAAGTTGCAAACTCCAGCTCTATGCAGCTCCCAGCCGCCAACCGAGAACCCTGGAGATTACACAGGGAAGGTATAATCCAAATTCAGCACCTCGGCTCTTGCCCGTGAGTGGGTTTGCTGAGACTGCAACTCATTCCCTCCCATAATGAGCCAAGGGGAACACAAACTATCTTACACACACACACACACACACACATCAATACACAATCCTAACCCTTGCTCATATACTGCTAGAAAACAAAATCCCTTTTCAATCTTGTTATCCTAATGGTCCCCTTAGAGCTGCTCTGATCTGGATCATAATGCATGATTGGTTGGTTACCTGGTAGTGGTCCTGCCAGCCCTGACTCTGCGGACAGCCGCATTCGGACC